ACCTGATCCTATTTCCCCTAGTTTTAAAGGTGGTTCCTGCAGTAACGGTTATTTCAGCTGTATATTACTTCCTGGACAGTTTACCTTTTAAAATTAGCCATATGAACACCCATAACTGTATATGCTGTACCCAACTCCAAGCTGAATTTATGCACCTCATTTGGAGTTGCCCAGTCATAGCTGCCCTGCCAAATCCTTCAGTTTTGTGCACAACCAAAATTTGCGTATTTGGTTTATTGGGAAAAACACTTTACTAGAATATTCCTACAGGAAACTTCATGGCTCACAAGGCCATTGACATTAGATGGATGAACACATCTATCCTTAGCGTATACCAGAAGAAGTTGTTACAGATTACCGCTATAAGGAGGTTGTATGGAAGTAGAAATGTCCTTTTTTAATTTGATTAAACTTTGGGAATTATGGTGTGAATCTACACTTTGCTTTGGGATACAGCCACTCTGGCCCTCTTAATGTAATCTTGGAAATTCACTGTTAGCTCACTTTAAAGGATGTATCTCGCCAATTAGTGGCCATTATATGGACTCCCTTCAGACTGTCAAAGTTTGTTCAAATATTTTACTTTCTGTTGTCATCCACTGTTTCATTATCTTGTCTTGTGGCAGTGACTTCCCACGTGAACACTATGTGATAGCATTGTGGCGCTACAAAGGCCTTCTTTACACTTGCTGCTCATGTGAACGTGTTCAAAATCAGATGATTTTTGCGTATGTTCACAAAACGTTAAAAGAAATCTACATTGTGCTTTTGGTGCCCTTTATTGTTAATGGTACCCTAAATGGGATAAGCGTGTGCAAACAAAAAAAAAGCTGTCAAAAACCATGTGAAGCTTGCAGCTCAGACAGCTGCATGAACTTCTTTGTCCTGCGTAGGGCAGCCCATTGAAATGAATAGACTGCCCTATGTGGACATGTGAAAAATCCGCTAAAATGCTACGCACGTTCACACATTCATATATCAAGCCAGCAGCTTCCTTTCACTTTATAAATTAACTTTTGTTCCATATTAATGGTTTAGAAATGCAGGAAAGTAGGGGTGGAATTTAACTCTTTTTAAATCCATGTTTATCACACGCATGTTCCAAGCATCTACTACTTTCAGTAAAAAATACCTTCCAAGGTTAGTTTTGTGTCTCTCCTGCTGGTTTGAGGTTCTTGACCCTGGCTTCATTTTGAAAATAGTGCCACCTTGAACATAATTTATTCTCTAAATGCTTTTATATGTTTTATACAGTTATGTCCCCCTCCTTTCTTTTTGGCATCAATATGTATTAAGTTCTTCCACTCTCTCCTGTTAAGTTTTTTTTTTTTATCCCTCAGACCTTTCACCATTTTTGTTGTCTGTTTGCTGTTCAGGTGCTTCTGATCTGGAACCCGTGTCATCCTATCTCAAAGAAGCTTTGGAGTCTGTAGCCCATTTCCCTCCTTGCGCCTTGTATGCAAAGCTTTGCCGATTACGTGCGCTCTGTTCTGGTGGACAAGACCCCTATATGACTGCTTTTCTGATTAATGAATCTGTGGCCATCACGCTGAGACATCAGTTGCTCAGTGACGTTCATCGGAAGCTGAGGTGTGTGATGCGTTCATAAACGTTCTTGCTATAATGTGATACATTTTATTGAAAGAAGGGCTTTTTTTAAATACTTTTAGATAACTTCCCAAACAAAAATAAAAGCTTAAAAACAAATGCAAATCCCATCATTTGTATTATAAATGGAAATGGCAGTGAAATATTGTGACTGATATTAAAAGGTAGCTTTCTAACACTTTATTCTAGTCCTGTGAAAACGAGTTCATATTTCTTTCCAGGAGTTAGTGTTGTATTTCCTTTTTTGCATTCAGTAAATCTGTATGTGATCTTGTTCACAGTAGAGTATTATTCAGAGTAATTCTATGGACTGCAGTATCCCTTTGCCAATTGAGGGACAGGAATTTGGATGCAGCCGGGGGTTTACTGCCGCCTACAGAAGTGGACACTGGCAAACCGATCTTGAGACAACCCTTAGTAAAACTCCTCCTTTACACAGTATACCTTAGATTTTGGTAGTGCCCTGGAAGATGGATTTATTTTCCCACCATCTGCTGAGAAGTCTAACCAACTTTTGTGCTAGCCTTTTTTTTTTTTTGTTTTTTTTTTTTTTATCCGTGCATTCTTAAATAAACTTCAGTCAAGATTCATCACTATGTTGCTTGAGCTGGACTCTACATTGCAGCAATCGGGATTGACATTTCCTCAGCCAAGCGTTATAGGCTGTACCCAGATCCTGCTGGATGTGTGGGGCAAGCCTGAAATGTAACCTTCAGGCACTGGGCTCTGAATTGTGGTGCCTTCCAAACTTGAGTATGCTGGTTAAGTTAGCAGCTGAGGAATCTCCAGGTAGAGTCATGGCGCACCCCTAGGTATGACCTTGTCTCTGAAGATTGACTGTGCGTAAGGCCAGGCTACAGCACCGGGAACTACTCTTTAGCTATACCACTGGGCACCAATAAAGGGTTAACGCTGAGGCTGAGCCATCCTCTGGATAGAGTGTTGCACGCCCCAAGCATTTTCTCTCAGCATTTAGCATAGAGGAAGCACTATCCTTCTGCTGCTCCTGCTCGCAAGTACTTCATGGAACTCTGGTCTGTTACCATTGGTCACCACAGGCTGCCCAACCCTTAGCACCAGCTTCCCTAGGTTTCGTGAGTAACTGAGGCCTTGCTTCATCTGGGCAGCATATACTCCCCTAGCGGTTCTTGGAGTGTTTACTCTGTATCCTCAGAGGAAACTAGCACCTGTAATTCTCCCCAGTGCTCTGTTCAGTTGGCCACATCGGTTGTTGGTCCTTCCTCCCTGTTGGAAAATGTGGGTTTTTTTTTTTTTTTTGAACCAGAATTCACCAAATAACAGGTGCAGATTTAATTTTTTCCCGTGTGGAGTCTTTCCTCTTCAGGTGACCTATTTCATCACATTCTGGAATATCAGGTTGATCGTCCGTGCTCTCCTCTTGGTTGTTGTTAGCAGGTTCCCTATTGAGTAGTGGGCCTAACCTTACCCATTCAGATTTGGGGTGTTGGTCCCTTAGGCGTCTTCTGGGTTACAGGCAGTCCCTAGTTCTCCTTGAAGGTTTGTTAGTGGATTTTTGCCGACTCATTTAGACTGCTTTTGGATGTCCTGACTTTATCCGAATTTCTGTGTCCCTCAATGGGTGAGAAAATTTTGTATTTTAGTACTTACTTTTTTTTTTTGTAATACATTAAAGGATATAGGTCCCACCCCTCCTGTCTTGTTGTTCATGCCCTTAGTACTACTTTAGAATAAAACTCTGAGGTATGCTGAGTAAGTGGGTTGTACGCAGGCCTGGCTTATGATTTTTCTGTTTGCCAATCTTCCCGTAGGCGGCAGTATAACATTGGCTTTAATCCTATGTCCCTCAATGGACTCAAATTAAGAAATTGATTTTACAGTAGGTACAAAAATTCTATTTGAGTTCCTGTGTTTTCCCTTCCCTAGGAAACTGAAGAAAGAAGGCTCAGGGGATGTATCTGACAAGCTACAAAGTTTGAGTCTTGATGATCACCAGGACCCTCAGATTAAGTACCTTTCACAGCTGGAGGCCCTGTTTCAGTTTCCAAAGCAATCTATAAAAATGCATTCATTTAAGGATCAGCTGCAGGAGATTCCAACAAGTATGTTTCTTATGCACAATTTGTTTTGGTTTCTTGCAGTAAACTGTGGTGTATACACTTATCCATTCTGTTTTACAGACACTGCAGTATGTATATTGACCCTGGCTGACATCCATCAACGAAGCCCTGGAGATACTCTACTACTCTGCAGACTTGAAAAAGGAAATTCCCCTGTTACTGTTCATATACCAACATCCCAGCTAAAGGCAAGGCAGCCGACTATAATATCTAGAGCGCCTACTTTTATCTTCTATGTTACAAGTGCGTGTGCGCATTAGGGATGCACTGATATATTTCGGGCGAAAATTGCACTTTTGGCTAAATGCTGAAAGTGCCATTTTTCTGCCGATTTTTATAGCAGTGCATCTATGCTTTCTCTCCTCCCTGCTGAGCGCTGCTCTGTGTCCCAGTGGGGAGGAGAGAAAGTTGCAGGCGGCCAAACGCTGCGGGAGGAGAGCGCTGGCTGGTGTCTCTCCTCCCACACCGCTCAGCCTCCTGTCACAGATCGGCGGAGTGTCGGTGGAGACAGCCAGCGCGGTGCTGGAGGAGAGCTCAGCCTCCTGCGACAGAGTGTCAGGATGGAGGACGAGGTACAAACACTCAGTGATTGCTGAGTGTTGGTAACCATACTCAATTATGAATGAATGGGAAGTGATCTACATCACCTCCTGTTCATTCATGATTGTAGTTTTAGTAAACGCACAATGTCCTCGTGTTATGAATGAACAGGAACACTCAGTATAGAGGTTTCCTGTTCATTTATAACAGAGGATACAGAAAAAGAACTTTGTTCTCAAGCTCTTTTTCTATTTTAAAAGGGAAATATCAGGGGTCTGTTTAGACCCCTAATATTTTGCCGAAGCACCTTTTTTAAAGTAAAAAATAAAAATATTTAATAAAAGCTATAAAGAAAATTGTTTATACCAAAAAAAATTTTTTTTGGAAAAGCTTCGGCCCGACTTATTTTTTTTTCCCTGTGTGTGTTGTACACTTTTTCGACTTTTTTTTTTTTTTTCTCCTGAGCATGGCGGGGTTGTGTTTAACATGC